TACAGTCATTAAAATAAAAATTGATATTAATCAACAGCTACCTATATAGGTATAAACGTAAATTAAAATGGAACATTTCATAATGATAAAATGAAAATTAATTATGAGTGAAACTCAGTTAAAACTTAAAACTGCTTATTGTCGAGATTATGATATAGTGCTGAGATTTCTTAAAATATTTTTATGGTTATAGAAATGTGATTATGTAATTTATAACTGTTTTAGTTTCTGTTTATTACAAGTTTAACATAAAGTATAAATGTATAATAATGTAACGTAATAATATAATAAATAGGTAACGATATCATATATTTTGAAAACACAGAATGATTCAGTGTTGATGATCATTTTCATTATTAAAATATAAATATTTCTAAAATAATTATGTACATTCTATTAAGAAAAGTAAGTATAACACAATAATGATTCTAATGTAAATAAAAACATTGGTAGTAACTAGGTACCAAATGCATTTGTTTTTATAAAGGTTAAAACAAGATTCTATTTTTTTTTTTTAAACAAATAGCACCTTGTATAGGATGTAGGTTACCTATTTAATTGACACCTCAATGATTTAATGTTCCAATTTGTATTCGTGTAAACGAGTCTAATTAGTAATTCTTATACATTAATGTATTTACAATTATAACTTTATAAGTTATTTTATATATTTTAAATAATTAGAATTTAAGTAGATAATAAATTAATAATTCTATTAATAATAAAACGATGACATGAACGATTTAGAATTTTTAATGAAATGTCGGTACTATTTATAGATCTCTTTCAAATGAAACTATTTAATAATCTATACATTCTATACCAAAAAATACATATCTTAAAATGGAATGATGAAACTTACTAAATTTGTGTATAGCGTAATTTATAATAACGTTTTTCAGTTCAAATTTTAATTATTTTGTGTAGACAGTGGACATTAGACAATAGTTATTGATAACCTATTCAATTTGTTGAAAACTCAAAATATAATATGTGAATTGAAGAACAAATGAAGAGGTAATACAGTAAATCTTAAGGTATATTTGTAGTAGGTATATACACTCATAAAATAATAAATTTGTACACAGGGAAAGAATTTACAAACAAATTAAATAACACAACATATTATTTATAGGAGCATAATGATAAATATACCACTATATAAATTATACATCTAGACTCAGAAATCCATCGTTAAAAAAATAATTTAGTTGTGTGCTTGGGTAATTTAAATATAGATCGGATTTTGTTCAATAATTAATTTTAATATGATAAAATAAGTTTGTGAGATAAAAATAATATGGTATAAATTATTTTTGGGTAATATTGTATGGATTAACCAGTTTTGTCATTTGATCTTTAGAATTCAATAAATATAATTTAATACTTTTGATTTGCTATAGATTTTAAATTATATCATATTTTATTCATCAAATTAAAAATTTTGATAAAAATTAAAAACTTTTATTATAAACTATGTATTTATTTTCTGTAAAACGCTACAGGTTGATTGGAATTTAAAAGATATTTATATTTGTGAACCTGCGTAATGCATACGGTATAACTTATAACTTATAAGTATTATTACAGTGCAATTAACTAATAATATTTATAAAAAATATATTTAACTATACTTAAATAATTTTTGAAACACAAATTATAATGGATTAGGACGACAATATTTAAATGGTTTCTTAATTATTTAAGTACATTACATGATGTAAGTAGAAATATTAAACAAAATTATAGGTACCTACCAACTAATTTAATAAGAAACATAGAATTATAACGACATTTCTTATCTGAAGAAAAAAAATGTTTAAATATGATCAGTGCTTGATTAATGATTTGGTAAAACATTAGAATAGGGGTTCAAAAGTATAAAAAAAATGTGAATACTTAATACCTAAATATTTAAATGTCTAATTGATTAAGATATAACTAGTATACCCACGCAAAAAAATGTTTCTTAAAAGAATAATTCCATTACCGCACGCCCTCCTCATTTCAAGCACTACATATGATTTTAATTTAATCATGGTTTAATCATGGTAAAATTCATCAAACAATATTAGGACTACTAGAAATAATTGTAAGAGAAATATTTAAACATTTTTTATGATAAATTTATAACGCTCGGTTTTTTTATTATAATTTTTTATTAGGCAATCTGTTACAGTAATATAACAATAAACTTAATAATTGATATAATATTAGTATACACAGGATTACAGCCTACAGGAAACACAGAGTGAACCATAGACTTCTCAGTGGAGGTACATCATAAATTGATAATTATAGTTAACTTATATGAGTTTTCACTTACATTTTTTGTGTTCGTATAATTTAAATTTAGATTCGACCAAATAAGATTTAATAATACATTTGACTGTTGTTTTAAAATAAATTTGTTTAATAAAAACAACTGTAAAAGTTGAAATAAGTTTTGTTCATTGGCATTTCATAATAGCCAAGAACTGAAATTAAATGGAGCGAATATTGTTTTATTTTACATATGCATGTCTAATGTCTTATAAATATGCTATATCACGATTGGATATTTGCTGTTTGCTTGTGAGTTAAAATTAATTTAATCTAAATGAAAAATACATGTAGGTATACCTATTTGGAAGAATATTTTTTAATGGGCAAATAAGTCGAAACGTTTACGCTTTTAGTTAATAGGGTAAATATACGATTAAGATTCCATAAAATGAGTTTCATACGTCATGCCTACCTTTGTGGCAACTGATTTTTTTATATAACGTTATAGTATTAAGGTAGGTGATGTGTAGGGTCCTATACATCAATGTTTTTGAGGTTTGTTGACTTATACAATTATACAAATAGTAAAATGACTTACGAAGAATTTCTTATCATTAAGAGTAAAAATATTTGGTCATTATTGTTGTTGTTGTTACCGGCTGTATATGTAGGCATGATTACCTATTATATATAAGCCATTAATATATTTTATATGACAACAAGAATTTCTAGATGTAGGTAATGGACTTTTTAGTAAAAATATTCAACGCTAATGTTATAGAAAAGAATTATAAATTAGATTTATTAATATACATTATATTTGTAAATAAGTGTAGTTTCTTAACCTTTTTGATCATGGTTCATCTTTGATACCAATATACCATTTTATCTTTTGAAATAATTTTAACAACATGTAAACCGACTTTTTTTGGTGTATCTTCATCTTGTATCTTGGTTGATTTTTTTGAGTTACTAAAAGCAAATAAAAAAATCATTTTATTAGGCAATTCAACGAAAAAAATGAATAATTTATTTAAATAAGTTTTTAATTTCACTCATATTATTTCCATAGATGATTCACAGAATCAGATAATGAATCATGAAACAAGTTTAAAAAAGTGTGCTGCAGTGCATAGTACAAATTAATTTTGAATTTTTAACAAAAATAAAAGATATTATTATATTGAAATTAGATAATATTATAGGTTTATCGCCCTAGGTATCACACTACCTACTTATATTAATGACAAATATTTTAAACAATAATATTATCGTCCTTAGTTTCTCTATGTTATTATTATATAAGTTAATATAGTATATACTGGAGAGCCTAAATTATTAAACAAAATGTATCTTGTATTATACGTGTTAAGATAAAAATATGAAGAATCTAGCATTTTTTAAAAATGTTTCTTGTACCTTGTTTGTAGTCATCTAGCGGTGGACATAGATATGTCTAGTATTTTATATATATATGTATATAATTGTTTACTATTATCTTGCCTATTCATATTTTTTATGTAGGTACCGTGTACCTAACCTAACCTTTTCGACAATATTGTCACTCAAATACTACATAAAATATTTTATTTCTCCACGTTCTCTTTAAATTTGCATTCATTGACAAAATGCAAATTAGTAACTCGGTTACTACATATAAAACATTTCTCTGTCAACCCACAACTCTTTAACATTTAAAACTGTCAGCAATCAAAGAAATATAATATACTATATTATAATTGCTGATATGAATGAATGACCAAGTAGTTTAAAATTGAATAGGTAAGGGACCATTAATAATAATAAATTAATAATAAATAATAATAATAATATTAATAATAATAGTAATAACCAATAATCAATTATTTTCTTCACAGTACAATTATATTGTATGGACGTATGGTTATGGTATGAAAGAAGTGTAGATACCTAAGGAAATGATTTCATATGCCCAACTACATATTAATAATAAAAACAAATTATGAAAAAATAGCATTCATAACTATTAATTTTATACCAGACTAATTAATAATATAGCTATTAAAAAAAAATTAATTGGTACTTCAAAAAATACAAAATGACTAAAAATACGTGGGGCCATTGTGTTTTACCTTTAAATTTGATTTCACTCTTATATCAAAAATAACAGTAAAAAGGATTCTTCTGAACCTATAGTCTTGTTAACCTTCAGTTTTGTGTTAGTAAATACTAAGACAACACACTCGGGTGCGAGTGTACGGCATATTCTTTTAATGATTTATATCAAATATTTAATTACCTATTAAAATTAAGAAAAGAAATAAGAACAAAATTAAGAACACTAACACAATTGATAGACTTTTGATAAATGTTAGTTTTTTTTTAAATTCGAACTAAAAATAAATTAAATATATAAAATTCTAATTATTGCATAAAGGAGAACGATCTTCATTAAAACTCATAGTACTAAGTAGACTATCTTCATGTAGAACAATTGTTGTTTCCGTTATAGATCAAAAACCCTCGTTATTTTAAAATGTGTTGTTATATATTTCGAATACACGGTCACGGTAGGCAAATTTCCCTTTTTCGTTGTGTGTCAGTTAATTATAATGCCGTTCTCCTAAAACACATACTATAATATACTGACGTACTGTTCTCAGAAATTAATTCATAGAATCAAAATAATCTAGTACTTTGAACAAATTCTGTAAATATAGATGAAAATATAAAAACAATAAACTATTTTTGTAAAGGTGGACCAGCTGAAAACGTATTCCAGTCGAACGATGCTCGTTGAAGTATGTCGTTCCGTTGGTGGACTTCCAAGTAAAATTCACTCGAAAAGTAAGTTTAATGTACTCATAATAATTGACGATACGATACGAGTCATGGTTTTCCAATCAATCGCCTAAAAGGCATACACAGGTCACAGACTTCACAGGATCATTATCCAGATACAGTGCTTATTTTTGTGTGTGCAGTATAAAGTGTGCAGTATACCATTATTTCACTGTCAAATTGTAAGTATACAATGGAACAACCATTAAAAAAAATGTAATTATTACTTTAATGTTGAAGCTTAAAATTTGCATGGAATTTCATAAATGTAAGACAATATTCATAAAACTTCATTATATTGCTTATTCATCATATTGCTTGCAGTCTCTTGGAAACTTTAACCCATCAACTAAAGTATTGAATAATTCATCATTAAATTGGATTAATAAATAGATTAAATTTAAATAAAAATCTATAAGCTTGAGAACAATTTGTCATGCTTTTATGGAAAACGTTTTTATAACATTTTGTTCTGCAGTTCAACATTTAGTAAAATAGTAAAACCGTGTATTAGCAAGACGCCGGACTTAACCAACAACTGAAAACTCTTTAAACTTTTAATGAAGTTTTAATATAAAATAAATAAAACAAATTATTATGTATTTTATACAAATAAAACCATAGTTCATAATAAATATTAAGTTATGAGCATTTGTTGTAATACCAAATAAAAATACTAAAATATGAAAACATAAGCACCTATTTTTATAAAGGATTTCCAATATTTCCATACATATTTCATTATTAGATTTGTTAGAAAACACTAAAAATATTAGGTATTTGTATTATTATAATTTGTTTGTTATTATTATATTTTATCTCTGTACATCAATTATATTTATGAATATATATTTAGTTGGTCAATTGTTTTTTAAACGTTAATCGCTCTTAACGTATTTTAAACGTATGTTATTCATGAAGTTAAATGAGTATCCATTGAAACTTTAATTTTATTTATGAAATATGCATAATTAAAAATAATAATTTTACATTATATGCACTTCGCCATAGATGAGGCAAAGGAGCCATGTCCGGAGCCCCATCCATCGCCTGTATTGAATACTTAAATCTGAAAGTCCATGTTTAAAACTTTTAAGCCCTTAATTCTATATGATCAACAATAATCGCCTTATAAAAAAATGAGTAAAAATCTCAAAACCAAACATGTCATAAGTTTTTGCTCCAAAGCGCTTAGAAGTTCCAAGATGTATTCAATTAATGATATTTAGACTGGAAAAATAATTATTTAAAAAGCATCGACTTTTTTATAAATTTATAATATATTTAGTTATATCACTATAATACGTTATTTATTTTTTTATAAGTTAATCTAGGTTGAACAACTCAAATGATATTTTGTCAAAAGCACCGCATATATAAAATAATGTTATAATAACTTCAAGTCAATAATCACCTGCAGGTTCGTTGTGTAATAAATTAACAGTTTAAAATAAGTTCATCGCTTTGCAAATGGTTAGAGTAACAAGCAAAAATTCGAAAGAGCCTCAAAAAAACCATTGAAAAATATTAAACTGTGTATTGAATATTAACAAAACCTGTAGACTGAGAACTTATTATTTTTTTTTAACGGGATCACTACACTTATTTGTTAAAATAGCATTTTAATTTATTTATTTTTGTCGACTATTATTTTAGTTAAATAAAAATAAACCTTTACTTACTTCCTAAATAAGGCTCAAAATTAAAATTTTGAAAATTCTGCTTTCCACAATATTTTCCATAACATTGTCACATATACTTTTTTATTTTAGCATAATGATTATTATGTGTAATATTAATAGACACAAAATATTCACTGATATTTTTATAGACATAAATAATAAAATATTTTAAACAATTTAACTCAAATTAAATAATCTTTGAATAAAATTCATATACAGGTACTAAATTTACTGACGCGTATACAATTTTATCGGTAATTTAATATCTAAGTGACTATATGACGTATATGTAGAAACTGGAACTATCTTTCTTCAATTAACTTGCAAAGGTTGCCGGTTGGCAAAGCACTAATTATTTTAAACGTTTTTATATACTAGGTACATTAATAAAGAAATTACAAACAATAAGTAAAATTATATTTTATATTTTGTAAACTATGTTCATTATATTATATCTAAGACCTCAGTAATATTACAGGCAGCCTCATAATGTTCATTCCCATCAATAACTTTTAATAATTAAATGCAATTGTTTGAAATTATTTTAAGGTATAACTATTAACTACTGAATATGCGAATCATAGACATATAAATAATAATATTATAATAATAATTTATATATGTCTATGATCCAAATGTATTATTATCTTATGTAGTTTTACATTGATGTACACATTAAACACTAAATGGAAAATGAATATGTTTAATGTTTGATTCCGTATTGTTCAAAAATCTAATACTCATTTATAAGGTGTTTATATTTTAAAACCGTGGAAGTCGGGGAGCTCTTTTTACTGTATAGATTATTAATTAGGTTAAGTATTTTTTGTTTTTATGGTTTTATATACGTACATATTAATACATTTATAATCCAATATACTATAATATAAACTTAAATTGCTATTTGATATAAAAATATCATATTTATTAAATTATTAATTGATATGTGTATAGTTTAAATATTTAAAAATTATGTAAAGTAAAATATGTTTGTACACTGTTAATTATGATAAAAGTTCAATACAATTGTTTATTATAATTTAGGAAGTTTGAAAGAAAGCAGTCACTCTTTATATGATCCATCCACATATTAATTAAAAATAAATAAATTAACATTTTTATACTGAATAAGATAATATTTTTTTTCATATTATCTTTTAATTTTCCAAGTTAAATTTATGATTCATTAGAATGTTAATTTCTAACTTATTAATAGGTAACAACCTTTTTTGTAGTACTAAGAACACCACCTGTATATATAGTAACTAGGGGGGGGGATATATACACCATTAGTTGACCAGAGATGCTAGGAACAATTTTATGCATATGGTGCCGTTAAGGCAAGTAAAATATGGAAATATAAATGCAGCAGTCAACAGTAAGCACTCACATACGTCCAGTAAAATAAAATTTCAAAAAAAAATTTACCCCGTCGGAGTCGGGTGGTACAAAGTATAAAAAGCAGTAACCTAACCAGTTTTTAAATTAAAGGAAGTAATCGTTTTTTGCTTAGAAAATGTTCAAATGAATAAAAGGAGAAGAAGCATAAACTTCGATATCGAAAATCGAACTGTGTGTACAATAAGAAATGCAATATTTTAGAACGTATTGATTTTGCAACTAAATTGGTTTTTAATGTACAACGAATATATTATATGAAATAATTGGACCAGACTGTAAGCCAGAAAAAAAATCGGTTTTAATGGTCGATACTATAGTATTATATAGTATTATATATTTTAAATTTTAATACATTAACTTTATAGGTATAGCGTATAGATAAATACAGCGGATTATAAATTATTAATATTCCAAGGCAAATGTTGAGTGAAAGCCGAAAAGTAAGATTTAAAAAAAATAATAATTATTTATAATTGTGTAATTATGAACCTAGTATTCATATGTTTAACAAATGAATTGTTATGAGATTTCATAATAAAACGTGAAATATATTTAAGTAGTTTTTAGTACACAAATATGTTAAAATATATATTATTCAGTATTTACATTATAAAATATTAATCATATCAATAAGTGGAGTTGTAAAAAAAAAGTTGTAGTGTTTATTATTTAAATTATCTATTATTTATAAAATTATTTTAATACACTTCATATACAACTTAATTCAAAGGTTACATTATTAGGTTATAGGTGAGTTTATTCTTGGAACAATATGCTTCATATTTGTTCGTACATATTATCATCATTTTTACAATATTTAGTATCAGTGAAGAATATTAAATTCAAGTGCCAGTAGCGTGGTGAAGAGGATAATCTAGAGACAGCCGTCTTTGCAGTGGTGAGTAGGTGGGTTGTTAATGGCCAACAGGTGAAAATTCAGTATTAAATGTAGTATTTTAGTAATAAAATAATATATAGTTACATAGATAGTTACAATTAATATGATAGTGGATGTTTTAACTGGGTTATCGGTGCTGCAGGGTGGGTAAAATGTGAGACTATAGCATCTGAAAAATTTAAAGTTTGGCACGCCACTAAATTCAACTACATAGATCCTCTCTCACATTAACTTTAGAGTTTCTTGATCACACCTTTTGCGATTCAACTTCACAATACTAACCACGGTGGTAATGATCCAATTGATCGAATTCTGCGATTGGCAAATGAGCACCCTACCACTTTTAGTCTTTTTTTATATAATTATATTTAGCTTAAAATTGTATTATCTAGCCTATTAGTTTCTCAAAGTAAACATCCAAAAATTTCGTGCTTTTATATAACATTATTTTTATTCGTAGAAGTATAAGTATTTGCTATTTAGTGAATAATTTAAAAGGTCCGTGGTGAAAAAGTCCGGTACATATAACTGGGTTAAAGGAAAAAATATGATGTGATGCACAGTCAAACTTTGAATCAGTATTAATATAAATTGTAACTGAATGATTTACCTAACGAAATGAATAAATAATCTTGTAGGTACCAATGTCGGCAAAATATTCGCAAAATATATTTTTTAAATATATTATTTCAAATATTGTTATACATACACGTATACCGGAATTTTTTTTTAGTTAATACAGTTAATACTTAATTAAACTGAGGAATCATTATGATTTATTACATGTATATGATGGTAATGATACAAAGTACCTAATTTTAATCATTTAATTTTTTTTTGAAATGTATTATTTAAAATATTGTTACATACATATACTGGACTTTCTTACCTCGGACTTTTTTATCCCGGACTTTTTAGGCTTAGGACAAATCTACTTCAAACTTTCATGCCTCGGACTTTTTTCCTTAGGTCTTTTTTATTCCGGACTCTTTTAGCTCGATTCCTATTATCTATGTTAATTCTATTTATTTAAAAACGATCATAATATAAAATATTTATGTGCTGTTTCTATTTCTAACTAAACACGAACTGATATTGATTATTTGTATTTAATTGATTTCCAATATGTAAGATTAATTCTAATCCACTTAATATGAAAAAAAAATAGTTAAAGCAATTAATAATTTGTGCTTGGAATGAATCAAAGCACCCTTTTATTATTATTCTTCTTTTGTCTGACTGAGTACATTTTGTACAAAGTAGAATAACTACCTACCTATACATAATATCATATTTGTAAATAAAATATATTTTCATTGAAAAAAACAATAATATTTTAACTTATCGTTTATTTTTCAGTTTCAATTGAATTTATTTTGGAAATACTTTTGTTGACGAGTAAAAAAAAAAAAATCAAAACACAGTTATAATTAATTGTTATTTTAATGAAAAAATTATTAATTATAATTTTTATTGTTGAAAATAATGAACCTGACACCAATGTAATATGTAATTACCGTTTTATGGTAATATTAAAAATACATTACCTATGTTGTGAACTTGAAGACGTTCTGTGCTTTTCAAATAATGTCAATGCATTTTCGTATAACTATCTATAATAATATTAATATG